CCGCCGTGGCCTCCTGAACTGCCTACTCCGCCATGGCCTCCTGAACTGTCTGATCCGCCATGGCCTCCTAGTCTGCCTGCTTCGCCATGGCGCCCCGAACGGGTGCCTGCTGTCCCGTGTCTGTCCTGAGGGGCCTCCAGAGTGCCCACCCCCAGCCTTCCAGGAGGGGGGAGTAATGTCAGACTCTGTTCCTTGTTTTGTGTGTGTTTTGCTCCCCATGTGCCTTCTTTGCCCTTATTTGGTCCTTGCTGTTCCTGTCCCCATTCAGTTCTATTGATCCCAGGTGTGTCTCGTCATCCCATCGTCATGTCATTTGTATATGTCTACCCTTGCTACGTGCGTTTTCCTTGTTCCCTGGATGTGATTAAAATCTATATGTTTGAATTCCTTTGTCTCCGTGCTCCTCACAGTAGCGCACCGTGACAGGCTGCAGATACGAGGTACATACATATTTCTGCAGTAAGCACCTAATATTTGCCATAGAGAAACTATGCCTATACAGAAGTAAACCCTGTCCATTTGTTAGTCTGGTTGTTTGATGAGAGAGAGACGAAATGCAGGAGTTACAATAAACACCTTAACAGCGGAGGACTCTTATTCTGTTGCACAGAACTGAAGACGACATGATGACGGCACCGTTTCATTTTTGCTTGACCAATCAGTGAAAAGGGGTGTTTAATTCCCTCCCACACGTAGAAATCGTACATTCAAGCTGTTTATCCATTTTCTACCCCTGAATGTAAAAACGAAAAATCAAGGCAAATTCTTGTTTTTTCATGTTTTTCAAAAAATTAAAAATGAATATGGTGCCATTTTCTCATGTTTCTGTTTTCAATATTAAATAAAAAAATGAATGAACGCAACGTACACGAACCGGTTCGGATGCGGACGAGTCTCCGGTGGTTGAGTAACATGGCACAGAGTGTGTTTAAAAGATGAAACTTGGTTTGTCGTTTGTCAGCAAATTTAGAACAATGTCTGAATGCGGAGTTTAGCTTGTTAGCATCAGTTCGATGGGGAAAAAAAGAACTGCGAAAAATGAGCCCAAAATAATAATCGGTAATGAAAGTGTCTAATCTTACTCGGTGTACGTTTATTCTAGAGGGATTCTGTTTTCCGCACCGGTAAACGAGCGGCACAACTTTAGAGATGAAGCTTGGTGTTTCCTGCGGTCTCTGAAAACACAGCACTCATTTCACAAATGAAAGAATGTTCTTTTTCTTCTTTTGCTAAAAGTTCAGAGGAAATGAAAGTGCTCTGAAAGTGTGACGGAGGTAAAAAAAAACGTTTAAGTAAAGTAAGACAGAATGCACAAATGTACGTTTAGCAGGGGCATTTTCTCCAAGGAGGCAAGAGGCAAGAAAGGCAAGAGGCAAGAAAAAAAACTTTTTCAGAAGGGTAGCTTGACTGTAGCTTAACTACTTTAACTTGTGAGTAGCTTGTAGCTTATCAAGCCACAGTTTCAGAGAAGCTTCCCCAACACTGTCCTTTTCTAATTCGATCGAGAGTGCATGTAAACACTGGATCGGATTGAAGACTGAAACCGAAAGGACTGCACATGTGCAATGATACAGTAATAGTGTAATGACATATGACGCGAGCTGTTCTTCCTGTTGAATAAAGTGTTGTATAAATTAGTGTTCTGTTATTATAAACCTCTCATTTCACTCAGCGTCTGTGAAGTGGAGTAGGACAACATCCTATCAGTCCTTGTTTTGGATTCTTATCCACAAACGACTGGTTTTGGGCATTGGTGGGGCGTTTTTACTGCGTGATAAATATAAGCAGCACGGCACAGAAATCGATAAATATTTATTCTGCTGTTTAAAACAAATAAAGAAACAGTGTAGGAGAATGGTTATTATGTGCAAACAGTGGGAAATTCTCTATATTTGTGCAGTATGCGCATGTCAAAGCTTGGGACATATAAACGCACACATCAACCCGATCACTTTATTTAGCGTTAATGTAAACACTACATTCAGATTCATCAATCGGAATGAATTCAGTCCGATTGAACCAAAAGTTGTACATGTAAACATAGCCTGTGAGAAACAATGGCACTGCTTTCTTCAGCTCATTACCCCCGCTCTCTTTTCCCTCTCTTGTCTACATTTCTCAAAGCGACATCTATAAAACATTTATCAACATTACCACCACAAAGCGACGACGCATTCACACACAAATTCATACACAGTCAATGCACAGTCTTGACCGTATAGATACACACACAAATTAAATGAACTATATTTCACTACTCACACACAGACATTCATTGTTATTCTACTATGATCAAATATGCACATATACTCAACTGAGTCTACTGAGAAACTCATCTATAATCTGTCTCCCTCTCCACCACACACACACACACACACACACACGTTCAAGCTCATAAAAGTTAATGCACGCTTGCTGCAGTCAGGATGTTAATTCATTAGTCCCTGTAGACTCTTACTTAAGGTAAGGTTTTAAAGAGGGAAAGATTAGCTATTCATGCACACAAAGACAAGTGGCTAATCTCCCCCTCCCCGTTCGCTTTGATTCCTGCCTCCTTCCATAATTCATCAGCTCTCTTCCGTTCCTGCCGCCCCCCTCTGGGCCAGGTTTCTATGAATAGATGATTAGGACGTCGGAATCGAAAAAATCTGATGAAGAGTCACAAAGCGCACACAGTTTCTGTGGCGAGAGAGTGTTGATGCGCCCATGGCACGCTCCCGTCCCACCGCCGCCGCTGCTGGGGTCGTCCCGGGATGTTTGGAGGGTGTTTATTTGTTGCAATGGGTGGCCAGATTTCAACCGGGACACACAGGGGATGGCAGGAATCCTGGTGAATACTTCAAAGATGTAGTTTATTTCATCAAAACGTTGCCTGTAAACGATTAAACATTGGCTCTGTCCATTTCTTAGTGAGCTGACTTGATGTGACTGATTTCAATAGAATTTGGTTTACAGCATAACAACGCAATGTTCTAATAAGGGTAAAAATACATAAAACGCACAAAAAATTATTTTAATTTAATTAAACTATTTCTTATTTTCAATAAATTTTAGCACTAAATCATAGATTTCTTCATTCAGCTTGTAATAATGCATTATGGGATCGCCCTCCTCATGAAGGATACTTGAGATGCTGCTTTTTGGCTAAAAGAAAGAACTATATAATAAACACAGCATTACTGTTTTGTTTTCCAGGTTAAAATATCAAAAAATTCTAAAAACAAAACTGGTTTACTTGAGAAGTAACACTGCATAACAAATTAAAGGGTTAGTTCTAGTGGTCGACCAATATGTGTTTTTTGACAGCCGATGCCGATATCTTGGAAAGCAGGGTGGCCGATAAAAAGCCGATATAATTTTATTTATTTTAATTAATATTCAAGAAATTTGAAATCATTTGAAAATGGAATAAAAAATAAATTAATAATTAAAAAGGAAGTAAACACTGTAACCAACAGGGCACTCAGTATTCTGGGAAGTTTGTGTGCATTGGGAATCATATTTTTTCAAACAAAGCCAAGGTAACACTCATTTTACATACAGCACACAGTGAAAATTACATGAATATGACAGTGGGCAAATGCATAAAGCGCAGCATAATTTGAAATCACGAGCTTACGATCGCGAGTCTTCAGTGAAGCTGAACTCTCCCTCCTGTCCGCATTCACTTCGCACGGACACGGCAAAATAAAAGTCCGCCGCGTATTTGTGTAGAAAATTACACAAAAATACTATGAATAAGAGTTTTTACGGTATAAACAGCTCAATACGTTTTTGAACAAAATTTGTGTTTTGCAGAATAGTTAGTGCATATCATAACAGTGTTATATCATTATAAGCTTGGCTTGGTGGATGACAAAAACAAAGACAGCACGTGTATGCGTCATGTAAAAATTTGGTGGCTGAAACTGCATTTGCACATTTTTCCAGCTAAGCTGGCTGTTAACTAGCTGCTTGCACTGAGAGAACGACAGGCAGTTACCAGACATGCAAGCTCATTTCTGAAACAATATCTAGAATAAAACTACAGATAAAAATACAGATAAGAAACAGCTATAAATATTGAAGCTAAAAGGAAGCAAGCCATGTTCTCAACAAATCTTTTCACTTAAAAGTATTAGTTAACAGTTAACTTGTGTCCTCAATGTCTATGCTGGTTATGGACCTGCACTGAAGATACTACCTTTTCAGTCAGTGAGCCTCACAGTGGAAACTGGGACATATTTACATTTTTTAGCAAACTATCCAGACACTGTATTTTGGACAATGCTCCGCTATATCACGTACAGAAATGCAAAGCAGATATTCATGCGGCCTCACACTGCTGACTCAGGGATGAAGGTCAAAAGGCAGGAACTATGTGAATTACTGCTGCTTGGGTGTGAAATAAAGTTAGCTATACATGAGCATCCAATCCCATCTGGCAAAGTCATGTGCAATGGACACAATGAGGACATATTCATCTCTGTGGAGGAGAACTCAAGCTACTAAACACAATAGGTTTGCGCATGCTATAAATATGCAACTTCAATTTGCGATTTGTGCTAACAGCAATATTTTCATCCAAAGTGGCCAGCGAGGTCAACCCTAAAGGCCAATTTACTTCATCAATGACACTGTTAGAGAAGAAATGTGACCTCAGAATAGGCTTTAGTAGCACTGTATTTTAATCCAAGCTCTTTGTTTATCACATAGACTACAAGATGGTGTGGACATGCTTGACCATGTTCCTTAAAAGAGCAGGGATGAAATGCAGACCCAATCAGGCTGCTTCTGTGTTCTTGTGTTGCGCCGGTGGGGTTCTGAGAGTCTCTTTAATGCAGTACAAGCAGTGATCGATCCGCTGTCTGCTCCCTACACAGAACACACTATTCCCCTGACTCCTATTACAAACACACTTATTCTACTCATCCACCTCCCACCAAGCCAACATAAAGAAAGAAAGAAAGAAAGAAAACAGTAAATATCAAGCTTCCAGTGTCTGTGGGTGTTTGCTTTACCTGTTGGACATTGATCCAGTAACCGATGGTTTTGTCCACAGCGCCGGGCTCTTTCTGTGTCCACTGTAAGATGTAGGAATAATTGTTCTTCAGGGTGCGAATGGGGTTTGGAGTGTCGTAGTAAAACTCTGCATTATACGGCTGAGCTAAACGGACAAACAAACCAAAACAGAGCATGACTAGTTAGTCAAATACTTTAAAAAGATAAACTACTACCATCTAAGCCACCTTATTTTTCAATGCGGAAGTAAGCTATTTTCTGTGAATGTGTGATGCTTTCGATTCATTAGCCGCTGTAGGCAAATGACTAGCAGAATAACAAAGTGCAATAAAAGGTAAAACAATTTGCACTACAAACTGGTGTGTCTATAAATATGTCAGTGCATTAAAATAATATAAGAAAAAACAGTTTGCAAGATCAAGCGGCATAATGGACTGTTAATAATAACTTTAAAAATAAGGTGGATATTCAACTGAAATAGCAGTGGTGGTTCTGCTGCAAGACATAGCTGCTACACTGAATATAATGTGGAAAATTTGTTTGCAATTCTAGGTATGCATAGTTAATTGCATTTTATTATTGCAGAAAAAAAGCCATTATTGGGTCATGACTCACCGAATGAGAACCAATGATCTAGAGCATCAATGAAGGACAAGCATCTCATTAAAGGAGAACTGTTTAATTTAGTGTCACCAAACAGAATTGCAACACCGGGGTGTATTTTAAACTTGTTTAAAATAATTACTTTTCAAATTTTGTCTGGTGCAGCGGATAGTGAATAAATTATACATTTGCGTGGAATATACATGCACCTGTAAGCAGTTATGCTGTTATGTAGTGAAATTACAGTTTTTGGTGTTTCTATATCCCTTACAAAAACCTATTATGGTAACCAACATACAGTAGTTACTGAAAACCAAAATACAGTAATTACTGCAATTATTTTTAGTGTAGACCCATAATAAATAAATATGAGATCTCCTTCAACAATGTAAGAGGCTAACAGAACCATTCTGTCATTTATTTACCATTGGCCCAACTAACAGGGAACATTATAACAACTTTGGCTAACATTCTGGCAAGGTTCTCTCAGAGTTATGAACAAACGTTCTCCCAGTAACATTAATAGAACTGTCATTCAAACTTATCTGGTCTTTAATAACGTTTTCAAAACATTATTTATACATTGTTTGTGGAATGTTTTTCTAAAACATTTTAGTTGGACATTCATCTAACTTTTTGAAACTCTACTAATTAGTTGTTTCAGATGCTTCAGAGATCATTCAAAAGTAACTTTCCCATCACATCTGGAAGATGATAAAATCAAACATTCTCCTAATGTTTTTGCTAATGTTCACATAACCAAGGGGGGAAAGAAAATATTTTTTAACATTTGAAAAACTGGAACATTCGAAGAACATTCAGAAATAAAATTTTCATAACTTAATGGGAATGTTAGCAAAATGTTCTTAAAACATACTTTTGTTAGTTGGGGTACATTTCTGCAGAAATGCCTTTCGTAGTAGTCAGAGTAACGACAACTGCATGCTAAATGTTGCAACACAATTCCTTGTACCATATTACCAAATCTGCATGTTACACAGCAGCTAGGCCTATAACAGCAGTCATATTAGAGTGTGACGATAGAACTAGCTGATAGCATTAGCACCGCTCAGCTGTCATGATGTGTTGGCAAAGCTAAAGATAAGACCCTACTGAGAAGGAAAAGCCTTACAAGTCTGCAAGAGGGCAGCCCATTTTTTTTCCCCCCACAGAGAGAACAGAAACACCTGGGCCTTTTTGGAAGTGTACTGTATAGTGCCACATCACTGTCTGGTGTTTCTTGGCAGATTTCTACATCAACTAGCGTAGTACCTAACAAAGCTGGCAACTCAACTGTAAGGAGTGAGTGACAGACGTTTTTCACATAAAATATGATAATTCTGATTTTAATGCTACTCATTTCCCAGGAAAGCAAGCAGAACTAATCATGTGATCCCAGACAGTCGCATAGCTACGGGTGGGCCTGGGTTCAGTTGCTTCAGAAGGTAGCCTAATAATTGTGAATTCTGTTGCAATAATCACAATACTTTATCTATAAAAATAAATTGTGTTGTTTTTTTTATCTTGTTTGCCATATAATGATGAAGATAAGTTTGCGAACAGCCCCTTAGTTAAAGCAGAGATCACTGGATGCTGTTATACATGCCTTTGTCCATATTAGGGTTTTCCTGGCACGTCACGTTACTTCTATGAGTCTGTTTTGTACTTTCTGCGCGAAAGCGCCCTCCGGCTTCGAGTATGAATGAAACGTCCCCGCATATCCATGCTCAAGGAGCTGAACAGCTCTGCTAGTGCTAACGTTAATTCACATATTTCTCCATCACCAGCAGCGCTCCATTCTCTAAAGGCTACCTCCCCTACACGCCAGTGTACAGGTACAAAAATCTACATTTTCCTAATGTCAGTTGCCTAGTCACTATTGTTTATTTCATGTGGTTTATGTGGCCACTGAGCCAGACTATGACCAAGCATGGGTTTTACATACTGTCCATTACTACTGTCCTGCTGATTTGATGATGGTGGTGTTGCGTCTGTCAGATGAGCGTGTGTGTGTTGTGGCCGCCGTGCTCATGCTGTTTTTACTGTTATTTTCTTAACACTGCTTATGATGACATACAGGCTTATGCTCTGATTAAACGGTGATGCAAATTCAAGCAGGTGTGTCAGTTGCCTAGTCACTATTGTTTATTTCATGTGGTTTATGTGGCCACTGAGCCAGACTATGACCAAGCATGGGTTTTACATACTGTCCATTACTACTGTCCTGCTGATTTGATGATGGTTGTGTTGCGTCTGTCAGATGCGCGTGTGTGTGTTGTGGCCGCCGTGCTCATGCTGTTCTTACTGTTATTTTCTTAACACTGCTTATGATGACATACAGGCTTATGCTCTGATTAAACGGTGATGTAAATTCAAGCAAGTGTAACTGTTAGTTGTGTTGGCCTATTTTGATAACAGATGTATTTTAGGCTAGGCCCACCCAATTTTCTCTGGGCCCACCCACATTGTAATTCCTGGCTACGCTAGTGATCCTAGATGGAAGATCCGGTTTGATCCAGCTTGATGAAAGTGGTTTCATATGGTTTAGTTGGTCCAAGCTGGTCATTTGTGGTCTTTAGTTTGTCCAAGCTGGTTTAGGTAGTTGTAGTAATGTCTGAAAGATTTGTTCTTCTGAGTCGGGTCAATGAATCAGTTGAAGCAGTTCACAAAAACTCTGAATGATTCATTTATGAATCAGCAACTGGACTTGACTAAACTGAGAAGCAACATTTCATAAATGTTTCAAGAAGGGTTTATATTATAACTTAATAAGCCACATTATGATGTGAATAGTATTTTTGAAATGGTTCACTGAAACTATTTGAAAGATCCAATTCGTTGAAATTAATCAAACTCCACGTCTAAATAGTTGATCATCTAGTCTAGCAGCTTTTGGGCTCAGGCTGACCTAGCAAACCATCTTGGTTAACAAGATTAGGGTTAGTAGACCAACTTGGCCAAACTGGTGGGGTTAAACTAGTTGACTATGAAAAACTAGTCTGACCAACTAGCAGTTATCCAATGGATAATCAGTCCCACTTTTCGGATTCAAATTAGATCAGTCTACCTTTTTATGTGACTGAGTTGTTAAAGGGGACATTGGATGAAAGTTTAACTTTTTCAGCTTGTTTTGCATTAAGTTAGGTTTCTGGCGTGTCTGCAAGCTCAGAAAAGCTGAAAAGAAAACATGCAGCCAGTTTGTTGTGGGCTGTCTGAGTATGGACACATCCCACAGAAGAGAAGGGTGGGGTGAGCAGTAGCTCATTATCATTTAAAGAGAGCAGGGTCTGGTTAGACACTCCGCATGTATGAAGTGATGTGACTGCAAATTAGCATCACAGCACCTCAGGCATACATCAACAGTACATTACTGTAACCAATAATGTGCAGAGACTGTGACAAAGCATCAGGGTGTAATTAACTTATGAACTTAAATTAAATGCTTTCAATGACAATATAATTATAAATCCTTATTAGCTTCAGACTGACTTACAAACTCTTTGGTTGTACAGGATGATATCTTTGATAGACAATCCTTTGATATAGACATCTAACATTCAAAACGATTATCATCCCTATTTTCCATGATCCAACTAATTCCTGATGGATGAAATCATTTTTTTTCCCATTTCACTTGAAAAATATGTCAGATTAAAGAAATAATTTGGCTTGTTAAGTGGCGTATCACACTGACAAGGTGACGTCAGTAAAAAAGAAAAGTCGTGTCAGAGGTTCACCAAGTTATCACATGGTGATGAAAAATTATAAATAAGATTAAACATTTTTCATCTGCAACAAATATGGTCAAACAAGACCAGGTCTGTGCATTAAGGAAGCAGACAAGGTCAAATTTGATTTCACTGACTCGTCTTCACACAAAACTGCCAAAATGATCACAATCAAACCCATTTAAAATTCCCACAAGGTTCTCTGGTTTGTGCTTTGGATCTAAGACTAAGAAAACAAACAGCATGAGAGATAAGTAGTACTCCAGCCAAACCACTCCATAAGTGGCACAATTATTTGTAGTAAAAAAAAAAAAAAAAAAGATTATTAAATAATGTACATTATTTACACAGTATTTGGTTGTATCCCACATATTGCACATGATCATTTTGCATTATAAAACTAATTTGATACAGTTTGTATATTTATTTTGATGCTTATTTAATTTATTTCCAGAAATAAAATGTACTAAGACATGTCCCAAATGTTTCTAAGTGGTTAGGTAAACTTAAATGAAAATGAATAGAAAAGCAGCACTGCTAGCAATGCCAGGGTCATAAGTTCAAATCCCATGGAACGCATGAACTTATTCATTATACATGATGAAATGAAAAAAAAAACAGCTCATATGATATTTTGTTGGACTTTTCTTACTTTTCTGAAATGTATCTCCTTTTACTGATTATTTGTTGGCAAAGAAAAAATGCTGAATGCATTTAAAACATATAAACGTGGTGAGCAAAGAAAGCATGAAAAACAGACACAGGCAAGACAGAAAGAAAAGTTTAGTTGGGAAATGCATAACAAAAGGTGCCGTGAATGATACTGTACAGTATAAAGCATTATAAATTCCCTTGATGTGACGGGGTGATCATCAGTGTTGCATTTCAACGCAGTTTGTGAAAAACATTTATCTAAACTCAACAGGAAGAGGTGATTTCCTCTCATCTATTCCCATAATGAAGTTTACACCAGACTATTTTCATTTCACAACACAACAGTTCCAATAAACAAACTATAATCATCCGTCTCATGTGAGAGGACACGTGTCTGTAATCAAAACATCATAGGCTTCAGCCACCCACTGATAAATATGAGTGCGAAGATAAAACAAGCTCAAAATAAAGACACAAGAGAAAACATATACTGTATACATACATATTAAAGTATAAAAGGTTTTCTGTCATTTGCCATTAAAAGTTAGTAAAAGAAAAGTGGGAAATTGAGAATATAACGGTACTGATATTTTGTGAACACAATTATTCAAAGCAACTACAAATCACAGATTTTTGTGTGAAAAAAAAAAGTAAGATAATTTGGATTTTTTTGTATTGTGAATGCAGATTTTTTTTGTTTTCCATTATTCATAAAGGAATAGTTCCCAAAAAATTTTAATTTGCTGAAAATGTACTCCATCCAATATGTATATGAGTTTGTTTCTTTGGAACAGATTTGAAAAATGTACATCACTTGCTCACCAATGGATCCTCTGCAGTGAATGGGTGCCGTCAGAATGAGAGTACAAACAGCTAATAAAAACATCACAATAATCCACAAGTAATCCACACCACTCCAGTTCATCAGTTAACATCTCATGAAACAAAAAGCTAAGAAACAAAGTCCATCCCCTGTTGTCCTCTCATATCAAAATCCACTGACATACAGTATTGCTTTAACACTGTTTTGGACTGTTTTCACTTGTAAACGGTGCTTGATCTGTGCATATTTCTCTCCTGATTCAGACGAGATGACTTTTTCACTGAAGAAAGCAATATTATGAAGAGGAGTTGCATTTTAATTCCGAAGCAATGATTTGAAGTTAAAAACGTTTTAATGGAATAGTTGTTTATTACAAACACGCAGCTTATGTATTACAGTACATTACTTGTGGATTATTGTGATCAGCTGTTTGGACTCTCATTATGACGGCACCCATTCACTGCAGAGGATTGTGAGCAAGTGATGGAACTCATTTACATCTTGGATGGCATGAATGTGAATTTTCAGAAAATTTACATTTTTGGGTGAATTACTCCTTTAATAATGAAATTAATTGAAAATAAAACTATATATATATATATATATATATATTCAAATATTACGAATTGTTCTATAATTAAATATTTATAATTGTAAACATATTTAAAAAATTATAATAATAATATTCCATAATTAAAAACAGTATTTTGAATAAAAATATACATGTATAATATTTTAAATATAAATGTATTCATATTTTATTTAAATCAATATACATGCAACAAATACTATAAATGCTTTACGATTTAAATAATATGTCACTGAGATCGTTCTTGACAGGTTTTGTGAGATTTACCCTGCTAGCCTCTCAATGCCTCTCAGTGAAATGTGGTTCCATTTCAGGCAGATGCTGTCTTTCTCTCCTGACACAGAGAGACAGGACGGGGTGTTAGACAGCATCCCCCTGTCTTCAGCTCCAGAGAGACAGGCAGAGCCACCTGGCTCATAAATCAGACCTGCCGTGGGATGAAGCACAGCGGTGGGCTCTAAACTGCCTCCATCCTGCAATACTCCGCATTAGCCGGGCCCGTTACGGCAGCGATATTGACGAAAGATAGAAACAAAGGGACTGAGGATGTGAGGATAGACTAGATGCGTGGGGGAGAGGGTGATTCATACGAGCTCTTAATGAAGCTATCACTCATTTAGCTGCAACACAGCATTCTGGGATTTCTCTGGCCATAAATCCTTCCCAAGAACTTCAATTTGTTCACAGCATGCTCTGCGTTACATGTTTCGGGATATATTGTGTTTAAGTCACATGCACAGCATTTATACTTCATCTCTGAATGTACGGGCTGTGCAGATTCATTGATTGTGATGTTTAATAACAGTATAAATCGCGTAGCTGTTGTCATCGTTTATCATAATTGATCACAGGCCGAGCAATGACATGCTCCGCTCACCCGAGACAAACTCGTTTACCTAAACGCTATCTGCCAGATGGAAAGAGACATATACTGAAACAACCCCTGTCACACAGAATATAATAACAAAACAGCATATGATCAATAAAAATAATCTAAAGAGATATCAAAATGAGTTTACCAGCATAGCAGACACATACATCCAAGTCTTTTACACGCTGTAATTAAAACAAAGATAATTTAAGTACATTTTCCAATACACTTGCAGTCTTTCTACTTCAAAATGTCATGTTACTTTACCTAATTTAGTGTTCCGGGTCAAAAATGACCGGCCTATATATATATATATAAACCTGCTTATAAATCTTGGATTCAGTCTTTTTGTCAGCGTGTTTTCTTTCAATTTGTGAGCAAGTGATGGAACTCATTTACATCTTGGATGGCATGAATGTGAATTTTCAGAAAATTTACATTTTTGGGTGAATTACTCCTTTAATAATGAAATTAATTGAAAATAAAACTATATATATATATATATATATATATATACCTGCTAGCCTCTGGATGCCTCTCAGTGAAACGTGGTTCATTTTCAGGCAGACGCTGTCTGTCTCTCCTGACACAGAGAGACAGGACGGGGTGTTAGACAGCATCCCCCTGTCTTCAGCTCCAGAGAGACAGGCAGAGCCACCTGGCTCATAAATCAGACCTGCCGTGGGATGAAGCACAGCGGTGGGCTCTAAACTGCCTCCATCCTGCAATACTCCGCATTAGCCGGGCCCGTTACGGCAGCGATATTGACGAAAGATAGAAACAAAGGGACTGAGGATGTGAGGATAGACTAGATGCGTGGGGGAGAGGGTGATTCATACGAGCTCTTAATGAAGCTATCACTCATTTAGCTGCAACACAGCATTCTGGGATTTCTCTGGCCATAAATCCTTCCCAAGAACTTCAATTTGTTCACAGCATGCTCTGCGTTACATGTTTCGGGATATATTGTGTTTAAGTCACATGCACAGCATTTATACTTCATCTCTGAATGTACGGGCTGTGCAGATTCATTGATTGTGATGTTTAATAACAGTATAAATCGCGTAGCTGTTGTCATCGTTTATCATAATTGATCACAGGCCGAGCAATGACATGCTCCGCTCACCCGAGACAAACTCGTTTACCTAAACGCTATCTGCCAGATGGAAAGAGACATATACTGAAACAACCCCTGTCACACAGAATATAATAACAAAACAGCATATGATCAATAAAAATAATCTAAAGAGATATCAAAATGAGTTTACCAGCATAGCAGACACATACATCCAAGTCTTTTACACGCTGTAATTAAAACAAAGATAATTTAAGTACATTTTCCAATACACTTGCAGTCTTTCTACTTCAAAATGTCATGTTACTTTACCTAATTTAGTGTTCCGGGTCAAAAATGACCGGCCTATATATATATATATAAACCTGCTTATAAATCTTGGATTCAGTCTTTTTGTCAGCGTGTTTTCTTTCAATTAGCTCATATCTATAAGGTCTATGCTCAACCAGATCCAAAAAGAAATACCAAAAATGTGCTAATTGAAAGAAAACAAATTGATAAAAAATAGTATGCATGTTCAGTTCTCCTGGAATAAACTTTAGGTTCAATGCCTTGTACACAATGGTATCAGTTCATGGCCTGCACCTTGTGGGGCTTGAACCACCAACCACCTGGCTATCCCAGCCACAATGTCACAGCTCCAAAAAGCTCTTTGTGTGACACTCACGGTCAGATACTCCTCCTGTGCAGTGAATGGACCGACGCACACTCAAATTCAGCATCGTCCTGTAATCACATGGTGCATTTTGAAGCAACACAATAAACACAGGATCCATTATGAGAGCATAGAGTGCTTTGCTCCGCTAATGGCTCGTGTGAAAAGGGCTGATGCGCACTGAGTGGTTCAGGGTTTAGCCCGTCTATCTTTTGTGTGGTTGTGCGTAGCTAGAGCACTAATGAATTCAAGGCTTTTTAGTTTGGCACTTACAAAACACACTCCATGCGGGCATCATAATGCATTATGAAATCTCTGAGAGCATTAACACACCCGCCAGCCCCCAAATGCTGCATCTAAAAATAGCAGGATCAAAATCATTGATAATGGCCTATTGGGTCTTAATGGAAAACGCGTGTCTCTTTGGCTCGTTCGGTCGTGCATTCAGAGACTCAATCTATCCTCAGTCAGTGGATCGCATTACAATCAAGATTAAAATCACATTAGAATGTGCGGCACCAAATCAAATCTAATCACGTCATTGACTGAGGCAATTTCACGATAGACTTCATTACCTCAGAGACGCTCTGGGATGTGTCCAAACCGTGTCAATTGACAAATAATGTGCGATAAGTCCAGTGGTCTGGTCAACTGACAAATAAAATCCTTCTGTGATCTTATAGAAAACCTAGAGAGGGACTTCCTATAAACTCATTGGACAACCTTTTAACTCTAAATCCTTTTAATTTATGGTTAAAACTGCTATATATTTTGACTATGTCCGGTGCAATATAGACCAAAACAACAAGCAAACTAACTTAGTAAACATGCAATGTTGTTCACAAGCCATTTTATGCAATCGGGCATACTTTTGAGTATGATACAGAATATTTGAGGGGAAAAAATCTGATTTTATCCACCTCGATAGTGATTATACACTCCCATTCAAAAGTTTGGGGTCAAACTTTCGAAAGAAATGAATACTTTTATAAAGTAAGGATGTTTTAAACAATGTATTAAACATTTAAAAAGCTACAAAAGATTTATATTTCATATAAATGCTGTTCTTTCAAATTTTATATTCATCAAAGCATCCTGAAAAAAAATGTATCAGTTCCACAAAAATAATAAGCAACTTTCTTTTTTTTTTTTTTTTACATAAAAATAAGAAATGTTTCTTGAGCAGCAAATCAGCATATTAGACTGATTTCTGAAGGATCATGTGACACTGAAGACTGGAGGAATGATGCTGAAAATTCAGCTTTGCCATAACAGTACTTTATTCAAATTACATATTGAAATATATTCAAATAGAAAAAAGTTTTTCTCAATAGTAATAATTTTTCACAATATTACTGTTTTTACTGTATTTTTTATCAAATAAATGAGAATGTGATCATTTATGCAGATCATGGGGGGAAATGCAAGTGACTGCTTACTTGTAAATCATTTCAATGTAGCAAGCTACTTATAGCTTTAGCAGTTTGGCAAACTATCATTTCAAAGTAGTTCCCCAATTGAAAAACTTTGTGTGATGACTGAAACACTTACACTCCACGTTGAGCTGCACCTGACCCTGTCGGCGTTTGATGTTTAGGCCGTTGTAAGGAGCGGTTTGGCAACGGTATGCGCCCATCATGTCCCGCGTCACATTGGTCAAACGCAAACGTCCATCACGTGTTTCCACCACCCAATCCCCCGATGGCATGGGCAGGTCCTTGTTTGCACGAGACCACAGAACAGGTGGGCGGGGCTTTCCATCGACCAAACACACAAGCTCTGCGGTACCGCCCTCACTGACATTGACCACACCCCCTCCGACTGGCACACTCAGAACAGGAGGAACGACTGGAAAAGAGAAAAACATAGTCGTAAGAGGAGATGTATTGTTTTTGGAAGTCTGACCATTTAAAAAAAAAATCAAATAAAAAATGATATTAAATAATAGCTAATATGTGCAAAAAAAAAATGGAAGAAAATTGAAAAATCCATCTTTGGATGGAGATTTGTAAAGAGAAATCTGAAATTTTATGAGATACCACTAACACATATTTATAAAAGTTTATTACCAATGTTGTTCTCAGTGGTGGAAAGAGTACTGAAAAAATATACTCAAGTAAAAGTACCATTACCTTCCAAAAATTGTAGTGTGAGTAGAGTAAAAGTACTTGTCCAAAAAACTACTTGAGTAAGAGTAAAAGAGTAGCCAAAAGTAGAAGTACACAATTTTTAAACTACTCAAAAAAGTACAATTACTGATAAAAACTACTTAATTACTGTAACGTGAGTATTTGTAATTCGTTACTTCACACCCCTGGTTGTTCTGCAAGTTATCTCTCTATATTTAGTGACCCATGACACTCAAATCTGATATTTATGAAAAATTTCACTGGAAAATGTGTGTCATCATTGGAAATCTGCTGACATTGATAAAATTGAAACAATTTATCCCAACTCTTAAAAAAAAATGCATTGGGAATAGTATTTTATTCAATTAATTAATAAACTAACTCAAAACTATTTGTGTCTTATAAACACTTGTACAAAACATGTAAAAAAGAAAGAAAAAAATACTACTACTCAATCAGTGTTGCAAAGTTAATGCTGCAGTTCTTTTTAGCTTGCCTAAACAAGGCCAGTTGGCAGGTTAACAACACATAAAAGAAACAATTAATTGTGATACAATATAGAATAATTTATAAGATAAGATAACTGTTTTTTTAGGACACTACAGTGTTAAATCTACTGGACCAACACCAAAACACATAAAGGAAAAAAACATTCAAAATAATGACCATATAGGGTGGACAGACTTCAAACAGTAGGACAGAAAGATCATAAAGCGAGTAATAAAGAGACTGTCAGATGATACGATTGATCATGTTAGGTACTGCAGTCAGAAACAGAGAGTAACCCAAGAGAAGGACGAAACTTCAAGAACAAAAAAAGAGGAGAAATTCAGAAAAAATAGTATCCTGCTGAGATAAGAGAGAGCAGATCAGAGAGGACGCAAATGCATGAGGGCGTCAGTATTTCCCAGAATTCAAAAGTTTACTACCATCAACCCAACAGAATGGCCATTCCCACATTATCACTGTTTACCCACGAGGCATAAGTTTAACCTCTCTGATAGCTGGAAAAACACCCAGACAGCATGTTGGGCAGAAAAGCCCTATCTATGAGAAAAGACTTGTGCTAAATTGTGGTTTCTTTCGGTCTTGTTCTTTTTTTATATTTCTTTAAAAAATAGTAATATTGTGAGTGTCATTTTTTGGTAAATTTTTGTTTAGGCTCGCTATTATCTGACCATATCACTCTAGTATAATACACCTTGCTAGATATATAAAAAAAAAATATGACAAATGGAAAATAAACACTTGTCAAGACAAATTCTGAATGTCTAAAAGTTTGAAGGTGATGAGTACTAGTTTGAAAACTTGCAGTTGCTAAGATGTTTCATAAGTAGATTGACAAATAATTAGACAGACAGGCAGGCAGGCAGGCAGGCAGACAGACAGACAGACAGACAGACAGACAGACAGATAGATAGATAGATAGATAGATAGATAGATAGAACAGGACAAGTCCAATATGTCTTGTACCAAAGTCTGTTTAGACAATAGGACACATACTGGAAAGTAAACAGCAGTCATAAAATCATTTCAGGTCTTTCATGTGTGTGAGAAAAGAAAATCACATTTTAACAAGCAAACAACATCATCAGCAATGAGCAGAAGGAGTCAGATCAAAGGCCATTTCACAGTATGAGCACAACAAGTGAGTTATAAAAGCTCTGAGGCCTTAAACCCTCAGCGTCTTTAGAATTTCAATCACTGTCTCACCGCTGCTCTGCGTGATGTTCACGTCCACTCGCAGTTCAGGAACGCTGCTCCCAGGGAAGTTCGCTACGCAGCTGTAGGTGGCCTGATCTCTGAACTTCATGTCCACGATTTCCAGACTGCTGGTAGCGGGTGGCATGTCTGGGTCACTGCGCAGCACGATGAGGCTGTCGGTGGGGTAGATGAGCGCTCCATTCTTGTACCAGGTGTAGTTCACCTTGTCCTGAGGCTGGGCGTCAACGTGGCAGGAAAGTTTGAGGTCTCGACCCATCTGTATGCTCTCACTGTCTTTGTTGGAATCCGGCGTGATCTGGAATGTTAAGTTCTTCATGGCTAATGGAGAGAGAGAATGGATGACATGGTGATCACGGTGAAAGACGCATTTAGGTTATGACTAAACCCATTCCTAGATCTATCAACTTTTTATCCACCAGAGTTTATAACTAAAACTATTCAAAATCAATAACTGAAATTACATAAAATTTGAATATTAGACCAAAAAACATTTGTTAGCCTTTTCTACCTAACTTAAATAAGTTTAAGTACTAAAATTGCTCAAACTAAAATGTATTATTTATTTATTAATCAAATGATCAACAAGACAAAGACTGAATGCAGTCTGTACGGGAGCGGATTTAACTGATTTAATTTCAGAAGTTTAAAATTTAGGTTTAGAAGAAACCCCATTTTTGAGGAACATTAATACAGTCCTGTCAGTTTTGTCACTGTACATGAAACCATCTCAGAGGTCTGCTTTACTGCAAACACTGAATGCATTCATGAGGGAAAAAAAAGTACAATTTACATGATAAAAATAATGACTCAGTCATAACTGCTTTTTAAGATGAAAATAATGAGCTTAAAGGCAATATCACAAACACAGCTGAAGACGCTTAGAGGATCCATAACCCCCACACAGCCATACTGCTGTAATTTGTTAGTACTGGAGCACTATTCATAACTATAACAGCTTAGCCGCGTGTTTACGCTCTGACAGTGTGAAAAACGACCCTGCAGGTGGAGACAGAAATTTTAGCGCCATATGTTCAGCGCCCCGCATTTCAACAGACGGCTGCCTTACCTGGATGATTGGCTGCGCTCATGCGTCCGCGGCACCTGCGTGTGCGTTTGACACAAAGCGAGCTCATTACCGTCAACAGAGACGGATCCAGCGTGCACCTCGCGCATTCCGAAATAAGACGCTTCTACTGCTAATTACCTCCATTCCTCTCAAATTAATTGGAGTAAATAAAAATGATTAAAGAAGCTAAGAATAGCTCCAGGCCCTGATGAACGGCAGGCGTTATGGCAGCCGTTCCTGTATCACCCTCTCGGCTTGAGGAGTTTAACATGATCACACACTGCCAAGAGAGCTAATTACAGTTCAACCGCTAACTCATGCTCACGCCACATAAACACACGCTCCCACGCATACATATGAAGAAATCTGGCTCGGCAATTTTTGTGCTAAGCGCGGGACAGACAGGAAGTCATAACTCATTCAAATGCGTGTCAATCAAGCAGTCTGAGGAATGTGTAAACTTAAATTGAATCTGATGGCTTGAGATGTAACTAATATTTCAGCCAATAAAGGTGAAGTGATTTCTGTGCCACCAAACAGAACTGCAGAAATAAAGACTGATTTCAAACCAGGGTTGTGTAAAATTCAGAACTAAACTGGCTCCTTTTTAATTCACAAGTGTAAATTGAATTGGCCACACCCCACATATCTATCTATCTATCTATCTATCTATCTGTCTGTCTGTCTGTCTGTCTGTCTATCTATCTATCTATCTATCTATCTATCTATCTATCTATCTTTATGTCCATCCACGCATCCATCTATTTATAAACGTTGCTATTCTAGTTAAAGTGACATGAATTTCCAATGCATTTGAATTCTATTTCCTTACATTCAAACTCAAATGTCAGTACATGTGTAAAAACGAGCACACTCACTTCTCACAATGAGGTTGGCGGTTCTTCTCGCAGGGTTTCCCACATTGTTGACGGCTGTGCAGTTGTAGACGCCGGCATCAGTGGGAGTGACGGACCGGAGAGTGAGGGACCCGCCTTGGATCACGGAGCGCTGAGGGAGGGACCCAGGGTACCGCGACCAGGTGACCCTAGGTGTGGGGAAGCCCGCTGTTACCTCACACGACAGCGTGACGTCTTGGCCTGGGTCCACCACATACGTCTCATTCACAGACAGCTTTAGAGCAGGGGGGGCTGGGAATAAAAAACAGTGTACAAAAGTGTGCATCATTTAAAGCTGGTGGGTTTCCTGTTTATGTCTTGATGAGTGAGTCTTGCATTTACAGAATAGAGCAGAACAAGCGAAGAGCAGGTGGTCTAGCTCCAACATGTGAACATTTCAAAGCTAAAAGTGTTTCGACAAGAGGGTCAGTCCTACCACTGATCAATAATAACATTTCATGAGAAATCACCTCTTCACTGCTTCCTCTAACAGCTATTTTTTCACATAACTCAAGGCCCATGGCAGACTCTTTATAGTATCTCTTTAACTGATTCCTTCTTTTAAAGCCAAAGTGTCATGTCAGCTGATTTGGCCTCAGCAACTGCTGATCATTAACCTCAAACTTTAACTCATTCCCACAGATCACAAAAACATGTCATGGTCATATTCCACCCATGCATGAAAATGAAACACATTTTAGGACCATTCAGATCTTTTTGCATTATAATATTAATACCATGACAATTAAACAGCTGCAGAAAAAAAAAAGTAATACAATGTATTTTCTATTATTTAAAAAGCATAAAATAAACATAGCTGAAATATAGTCAAATGTGTTAAACTGAGAAACTCCTATTGGTATCTGAAAACCTTTCACATTAAAGCTCAAATATTTATGGAGATAAAAGCTGCATCTCATTTCAGAGGCTGCGTACTCCTTTACAGAGAAACAAAATATTCACTATGCTATACACAGACGGCTGCAAAGAGACTGTCTGACACAAACACATCAGTCCTCATGAGATTTGAATTTCTCAGTCTGTTTTTTTATGTAATCATGTAGGAAGAATCAGGAAACTACAGTGGAAATGAAATGGAGATTCGAACTTGCATACCCCACATCGACCCCTCTTTCATGTCACACAGCTCACCACAGTCTGTCTAAATGGCATCACTTCCATCTGTGTTCATTATTTCTGCAGTCTAGAACTGTCATACTGTACCTGAACAAGACCAGACTGCATCATAAACTCATTAGTTAAAAATAAATGACTGAAATTAGAAAGCAGAAAACCTGCCAATGTGCTTTTCATCTACCTACAAATTAATTGTCATTGGCAATATCTGAGCCCTGAATAGACTTGTAAAACACCCCACATATAATGCCAAAAAAATCTAATTCAATGTCTATGAGCCCAATTAAAACCGATCCAAAAAGTTGAAACATTTTATAAAAGAGCATCAGAAGTGATTAAAAATGTGATTTCAAAACATAATGATAATCATCATTCAAGTCATAATAATCAACATTTTGGCTTGTTGTCCAGTAAAAATATCTAAACTTCCTTAAACAAGATTTAGAAGCCAAACTGTGTACAATACAAAGTTTTGTTTTCATAGAAAACAATTTTGAATGTGTTTAAATCAAAAATCCAACTTACTTCTCAAGTCAACTGAATATGTTTTAAAGATATTTAGATATTTTTTTTAAAAGATTAAAAATACAGAATAAGAAAATGACTTTTCACAGTGCAGTCTGGGTCATCAAAATGTGTTTTGATTTATATCTCCCCAACTATTCTTTCATTCAACCAGAGATTAAAATATACTAACTCTTTAGAGAGGAAGAGATGCTAATATAATATGACTCAGACCTACATTCAATCAACCAAGGGTGGTTTAAATTTTATGTCCCACAAGCACTACAATCCAGGATAATCCCAAAAATAGGAGATAGGGTGAATCTCACGTAACCTGTCGAGTACATTTCTGGGCCATATTTCACCCCAAAATCAAAACCATATTAAAAAATAAATAAGCATAAAGAAATGTGTGTGTGGTGGGGGGGG